GACACCACGTCTAGATTACTAGACCACCATCTCTGAAAAACTCGCTTAAGTTAAACATCGTGACAGGACAGTTTACAATACTAGACATCTCACCAAGATTACTAGACACCACCCCCAGATTACTTGACACCAAGCCCAACTAACTAGACACCACACATAGATTACTAGTCACCAAACCCAGATCCAAGACACCATAACCCAGATTACTAGACACCATGCTCAGATTACGGTTAGGTTAGGTTTTTAGGTAATGATGTCTAGTAATGTTAATGGTGTCTAGTAATATGGGCGTGGTGTCTAGTAATCTTGGTGAGGTATCTAGTAGACCTATAGGAAACTGTCCTGTCACGATGTTTAAGCGAGTTTTTCAGGCATGGTGTCTACAGGAAGCCTCGGCGACAATAAGACACACACATTCATTTAAGAAGCTTGTGAATTCATCTGTAGAGTCTGGAATCGGCGCTCGGCTTAATGTATCTGCTGTAGTAAACATTTCTTTTCCGGGAATGTGTTCAATGGAGTATAGTCAAATACGGTATCATCAATCACATTTTGAATCTCTGAATCCTAGCTGGTATGTGTTTAAGTCTTTGCTTCCTAGGAGCGAAACTAATGGTTTGTGGTCTGTTAGGATTCTAAATTTTTTTCCATAGAAAACTTTTCTGCGACCCATGCACATGCAAGAGCCTCCTTTTCTATCTGAGCAGATTGTCTTTCACAATCCTAATCCTGTAAGGTCCTTGAAGCAATCACTACTTTGGGAGATTTATCTTCAACCAGAAGTAACATTGCACCCAATCCATTTGCTGATGAATCGGCTATAACAATAGCTTCAGCATTTACATCCGACTTTGTTAAAGATATTGATTCTTTAACGGCCTATATAATGTCTGAAAGGGCTTCTTGATGTTTACTTGTCCAAAAAAATTTGCTATTTCTAGTGAGGTCACAGAATTAAGTTTTATCAGCTTTTTTTATCAGCAAGTTTGGAATGAACTTCTTCAGTTGATTCAACATACCATTTATACGTCAAACTCCCGCAATATCTTTAGGAAGGGGAAGTTCTTTGAGTGCTCTCATACGATCGATCTTGATACCATCGCAGTCTATCAGGTTTCCAAGAAACTTCACACAGATGTTTGAGAAATAGAACATTTTTCTTTGTTCAGTACAATCTTTGCTTTTTTCAAGCGATCTAATACTTAAGTGCCTGTAATCATGTTCCTCTTGCATTTGGCCATGTATAAGTATGTCATCCATGTGACAATTACCCCATCGATTATCAGGACTACCATTTAAAATAAATATCTGTGTAGTGAAGAAATCTGGAGCGCGTGTAATGCCAAAGGGTAATCTTTTGAAAATAATCTTCCGAATGAAGTAATGAAAGAAGTTAGTTTAGCTGTGTCAGATTATAATCAGCCAAAACCCTGACTGGGCATCTAGTTTAGAAAATAATTTAGAGCGTCCAATTTGTCCTTGAGTGTTTCTTTTACATCTGTGTTTTTTTTTTTTAATCCTATTAAGTTCAGTATACATAATCATAATCGACACAAAAACGTAAACTACCATTGGGCTTGAGTACTGGTACTATTGGTGCACGCCAGTCAGTTTGAGACTCTACTTTTTTACTCCTAAGTCCAACATTCTGTTCAATTCTGTCTCCACTTTTGAACGTAGAATTGATATGTTTCTTGGAGCACCAACCGAGTACGGTTGAGTAATTTTTTCAATTCAGTTTTATATTCTCCTGGAATGCTACCCAAACCAATGAAAAGATCAGGGTGGCTAGTTAATACAGAGTCTAAGGTAATTGAGTTAAGACCTGCAGTATCAGGTTTTCTGAGGGTTATAAGCTTTAAAGATTGAATCACAGGAATTCTAAGTAAAGGTTCATTTAAACCTGCAACAACGTAAAAACAAAGGTCTCTGATTTGATTCGGTCAACTTCTGCATGTTTTCCTTGGCTTATCATTCCTAGTTTGGCTGCTTGTTTGCTGCTTTTTGTTTGCATTTTTGAACTGTTTTTTCAGTGTAAGATTTGAATCTTCTTGCAATTGGACCGACGAACGTTTGTCTGTTATACCCACTACAATTCTATGACGTATTAGTTCTGCTTTAAGGCTCTATCTTGAATGAACAGTGTTCGGCCATTGAACTTATGTCCGCTATCTAGAAATGTATCAAATAATTCTTTTGGATGTTGTGATCTTGAATTAGACTTTGTTTGTATATGACGTTTCTTTTCCCAGTAAATATGTTATCAAAGGCTTCTTTTACAGGTTCATATGAGGCCTTGTCATCTTTTGAGAGGTGTGCTTTTGATAGTATGTCCTCAGAATCAGGCCCCATACAGTAAATCAAGTAACTTAGGCCTACTTGTTTTACTTCAAGTTCATTGTTTAGTCCTGATGCAATTCTATACCTTTCAAATCGCTTAAACCACTTTTCCCATAACTCTGAATGTTTGGAATCAAAAGGTTCAGGAGGCTGAAACATGACTTACGACGTCCTATTTTGCAGTCTTAGTTAGTGAGTCGGTGGCTCAGTCGGTAGTGTCGCGGACTTCGGGCCCAAGGCAGCGATGTCGTGGGTTCGGATCCTGGTCACTGCCGATAACATTTTATGAGTACAGTTTACCTTTGTACTGTACCGGCTCACTCCTTGCCTTGCTGTAAACGATCCACGCACGGGCGCTTAGTCTATGTGGACGGGTGAATGCAAGGCCGCCAACCTCTTTAAAAAAAAAATAACATTTAGTGTTTCTGGTGATTGGTTTGACTTACTTATGGATGGTTTATAGTTTCTTGGCATTTTAAAAAACAAAACCGCTGCCACCATGTCAAATAATGAAGTTTTACAACGTATTACAGTAACAACTTTTATTTAGGAATAAAGGTTAAACTGAATTCTAAGTTCAGTAGGCCTATAAACAAAAAAAACTAACTATAACAGATGATTTCAATAATTACAAAATCAATATTAAAGAACAATAACATAGGCTATAGCCTAACACAAATCTCCCTGTAGTAGCAAACCTTAAGTACGGTACTCGTTAAATGTAATGCTATTCAAATGGACAATATGTCTTGTTTATGGAAATATTGTAGTAAATATCCATTCAGACAAATTGAAATTCACTTAGTCTGCAGGTTTGTTGAGCCGGGGGTATTTTTGTTTATAACCCTAGCCGTTTCACCCACTTTTTCGATGGTAGCGTGTTTATATTAATATTAATAGTTTGAAAAAAAATTACATATTCATATTCAGCATAAAATTCTGCACAATTTAATTACTGTAGGCCTACCTTAAATGTGTGTTTTGATACAAAAAGATTTACATCTTTTTTTCTGATTTTCCATGTTTATTTGACTTTTCCGTTGAAAACCGCAGTCATTTTTGATTTCAGGACATTATTTAGCATCAAAATAGTGTAAAAAATACTATTTTAACGTAACATCTGTGATCGATATAATTACCGCACTATCTAACGCAAGTAGGGATTAGACTGTCTGTCTGTTGTTTATGCATCGCTGATGGTTGAATAAAATTAAGCCAATAATTTACCTCTAGAACTATTTCATATTTATGTTAGGCCTACTGGGTTTTGTAGTTTATTTATTGTAGGAAAATTACTGCTAGCCTAGGCCTAATAGGCTACTATTTGCTTTTTATAAATTTTATGGTCTTGAAATTGAGCTTAAAAAAATTAGTAATGCCCTACAATAATTTTTTTATTACGTTCACGCGCAACATATCATAACGTGAGCAAACTATCAGTTGAAGTGTAACATTCAGGATAAAAATTAATTGTGTTTAAAAATTATATAGATAATAGATTTTAAATTTATAAATCAAGCGCCTAAGACTAAGTTACTTGTTCTAAATTTCTTATGTTTTAGCAAATAACCAGGCCTAGGCCTCTTTATAGACTTACAACCTACTCAGTTTAAGTCCAGTTACTTTATTTATTAACGTACCTGATTAAACATTTAAAAAAATAATTTTTACCTAACCTAATGTTCTATTTATTCAACTCATCATCGTTTAAGTAGCACGTCAGTTGAATAATCTGATAGCGACCGGCACTGTGCCATCCGTTCTGATGTTTACTTGATAATTTATTGTTTAAGCTAAATCTAAAAAATCATTTATCAGAAATAAAATGTTTTCAAATCAATAAATTTCTCTTGAAATCATAAAAAAGGGATTATCTAATCTGAAAGTTGATAGCTAGTTTCCGTCTTATTATTGTGCCTGAACTGTGTGTAGCTGAAGCTAAAGTTAAAAAAATAATGAGGTAGGAATATGTTAGTCTTGGCCAACTTTTAGATTCATTAGTTTAATTTGTTATAGTTAGCTGTCTAGGTTTGTTAGTTTTTTTACCTATTTTTTTATTAGTTGGTCTGAGAAATTCTTGCAGTAGGTATTGTTCTAGTGGCAAAAATGGTGAATCCGTGAATAAATAAATATATATAGGCCTATATGAATAGTATGTCATTTTTTTTAAGTATAACTTATCCGTAGTGTTAGTTTATTTACCATATAGGTCTAGAACAGAATTAATCAAATACATATTTAGGCCTATTAGGTATATCAAAGAGAATATAATAGGCATATTCTAAATTTTTTAAATAGGTTAAAAACCCAACACCTAAAGTTTGTTACTTGCTGGTAAGTTTGGCCCAATTTTTCATTTCTTTAAACAGCATCACATTAAATTAAGTCCTCAGTCTAGGGTAGCCTATATAAAAAAGTGTTGAAAGTTACAAAATTAGAGCCCCTAACTACGCAGTTATGTGCAAAAGAATTGTTTCTAATTTTTTGTATTGAACGCTGATAGTTAGTGAAACATACATTTATTTCAGGGATTTAGTTATCAACGTGGGAGCAGAAATGTGTATTACTGCACTAAGACATTGTTCAACCATGGTTTTTTAAGTTGATACTGTTCAAACTGCTCCAAATGAATGGACCAAAGACATTAGTGAGGTGGAATTGTCTACTAACTGGGTACATTTTTTTCAATACTGGGCCTAATTATTCTCCTGTACTAAGCCGTCCTTATTTTGTTAAAATGGCAGAGCTTGTTCCCCCACCGTCAGTTAGAGGTATGACAAAACTCGATCGGTCTCTTTTTAACAGCACAATTACAGTTCCGAGCCTTCTAGTCAAGACCAAGTCGGTCGTACCCTTGAAAGATATTTTTAAACAATATTTGCTACGGTTGCGCGCTCTCGGGCCAATCAGACCATTCGAAGGAGACACAACCAATGAGATGAAAGAAGTAATTCTTAATCCCAAACTAGTATCTTGCTTTACTGACATACAACCGCCTCATCGAGAAAAGCTCGAACAATTTGAGGTTACTGAGTCAAATTTCAAGACATGTTCGTTGAATTTGTCATATGATAACTGGACTGCAGACGACATTCTTAAAGCAGTGTTGCCACTCTCAGAGGGAGTTGATAACAATTTCTCTGGATATTCCATGGTGGGACATATAGTCCATGTGAATCTCAAGGAACACCTTCTAGATTACAAGTACGTCATCGGAGAGGTTCTTCTTGACAAGCTCAAACGAGTACGAACAGTTGTAAACAAAGTAGACAACATTGAAAATACTTTCAGAGTCTTCAAAATGGAGGTTTTAGCTGGAGAACCAAATTTTGTCACTGAAGTCAAGGAAAATTATGTAACTTTTAAGTTTGATTTTTCATCTGTTTACTGGAACTCTCGACTGTCCACAGAGCATCAGAGGATAGTAAATAGGTTAGAGCCAGGAAGTGTACTCTATGATGTATTTGCAGGAGTAGGGCCATTTTCAATCCCAGCGGCTAAGAAAAAATGTACAGTTCTAGCTAATGATCTCAATCCGGAGTCTTTCAAGTGGCTGCAACACAATGCAAAAATCAACAAAGTTGGAAATAACTTTAAAGCTTTCAACAAAGACGGTGCAGATTTCATCAAAGAGGATATAAAGCAACACATTTTACAAGAGAAAGGAAATGTGAAATCTCACATAGTGATGAACTTGCCTGCTCTCGCTCACACTTTTCTTCCATGTTTCAGGAACTTATTTTCTGCAGATGATTTAGCCAGTGTGAAATACCTTCCCTTAACTCACGTATACTGTTTTGTCAAGGGAGTCGACAATTATAAAGAGATGGCTAAAGAACTAGTTGAAAGTGAGTTGAATTGCTCCATCACAGAGAGTCTGGATGAAATTACATTTGTACGAAATGTTGCTCCAAATAAAGAAATGATGAGGGTTTCTTTCCAACTGAATGAGAATATTTTACTTGACAAGAAAAGAATGTTAGATTCTGAAGAAACTGGCAAACTTTACAAGAGATCAAAATAAAATCAATGTTAGTTTCATTCATACATGCCATGTAAATTTGTACATAATACTTTATAATCATTTGTAAAGAATCAAAAAGATTTTTTTTGCTGAAACTAAATTGTTATTGCTTAAATAACTTTCCTGGATTTCTGCCGTAGGTCCCTAAGTCAAAATGGGAAAAGGAGGAAAGCAGAAAGGAGGCAAAAATGTATTCAAAGTTGCTGGCGCAAGGAGCCTCAAAGCCAAGAACAAGGCAAAAGCTGTCTCCACACAGTTGAAAAAAGTAGGTATCTTATTCAACACTCCCGTATTTTTTTACTTCGGTTAATGAAGATGACCTTTCAAGACAAAATGTAATTGTTCACAGCTGACAGAAGTGACAAAACAAAAAACCGTTGAAATGGATCAGCTTCTCAATGAGCTTCAAGAGACAGTTAGACAAGCCCAGCCCCAGAAACAAGAAAATAAACCTTCCCTTCCACCCAAGGAAGACTTAAAGAGCAGAATCGAAAAGTTCAACAAAACTGAGGAAAGCTCAGCAGAAGCCTTGGACAAATTAGGCAAAATGGAAGTCTAAACAAAAATTGTACATTTGTCCGTAATAAACCTATTTTTATTTTTTATTGATTCTCATTTATTTGAAATACTTAGAATCTTATAATAACAATAATTCCATTTGACAAAGGGGTTTTATGTAAATTACAGTTTAATTTGTTTTTAATTTGAATTTAATATCTCCTAATTTGATTGCTGTGTTTTTGTTGTGTGAGAGATGTAATATATATACACAAATGTATAGATCGCAATATAATTTGTAGGGCAATCTTAACCGAAAAAAAACTTTAAATTAACTAGATAAGTTATCATGGGTTATCAAATGAGGTATTTAACCATAATTGATGCTGTTTTGAGTTGATCAAGATTTTTTACTTTTTGCATTGTTTACCCGGAATATGCTCTCATTAAACATTTTTGCTAGTGTATGTAGGGAATTGGAGGAATTAGGAGTGTTTACTAATGCAGGTTCGAGCATGGCATCCGTAACAGGTAAAACTGCAGGAATAATCGTGGTGGGAGATGAAATTTTGAAAGGACAAGTTCATGATATAAATTCATTCTTTATGTGTAAACGCTTGCGAGCAATCGGGACAAAAGTGGCAAGAATATCAGTGGTGGAAGATAACATTGACGATATAGCTGAAACCGTAAAGGATTTTTCAAAAAGGTATGACATTGTGTTGACAACTGGTGGAATCGGACCGACCCATGATGACGTTACATATAGAGGAATCGCTGCGGGATTCCAAACTGATGTAGCGTGCAACAGCTTACTGGAAGCATTTTGGAACAGAATTTTAGATCAGAACTCCTCTGAAAGTGTTCGCGCACTGTCAACTGTACCAAAAACTGCTAAAATAGTCTGGGGGAAATCAGAAACTCCGTTTTTTATTGATAAGGAATCTCAACTTGTTACCCAATTCCCTGTCGTCAACATCGCAAATGTTTTTATCTTTCCCGGAGTCCCCCAGTACATGCAAAGTCTGTTTTCGTCACTGGAAAAAGAGCATTTCCAAAGTCAGGGCTGTTCTTTTTACACTGGTAGGATTTACTTGTCAGTCGAAGAAGAGATAGTTGTTAATGCTTTAAACAAAACGGTAACAGAGATGACAGATTGTGTGTTTGGTTCATACCCAGTGGTGGGGGATGGGACTAAGTACAAGACTCAGATTACGATAGAGGCGTTGTCCGTGGACAAAATCAAGGCGGCAGAGGATTACTTCAAAAGTCTCATCTCGCCCAAGTGGTTGGCTCCTTGTCTACAGAATCCTACCATGAGTCACCCAGTATACAAGTTCCTTCAGACCACCGCTGACACACGACTGGCTGCTACTCTCAACAAATCTATCAAGGTAATGTTCCGTGGCTGTAAGCTCCAACCAATTAATTTTAGTAACCTACTATATTTTACTTTATTCTAAATGGTGTGTGATTATATTCAGTTTGATTTTTATAATGCATTCTGAAAAGGTCACATAACTATTTAAAGTTTTAAAAATAATTTGGTAATAGATTTTTCAAAAAATGCCCAAGTACGATTTTTATGGGTAACTGTAGACTAACTGAACAGGTAATATTTATTTTTTCATTATCTACTTCATTTGACAATACGAATACGGCTATACGGCCTAGAATGACAATTAAAATGCAAATCAATATATCATGATATATAAAATATTATTTTTTATTAAGTGATAAAGGTCAAAATGGCAAGAATGTGGCCTTGCATTTTTTAAAGTAATTTAGAGTGAACTGTTTTTTTACTTTGAAATACTATCAAAAGTTCTGTTTTATTTTTCACCTGTCTACAGCCTTAAAAGACAGTTTCAAAAAATTTTACCAAAAGTTCGCTTTTATGGAAATTCTGTCACTAAAACCTCTGGCATTGTTAGACTCTTAAACAATCACTGGAATCTACCCTACATCTGCCGGGGCAGATTAGTAGGCTACAACAGCACAGCCATTTTCCATTTGCACTGCACTCCCATTTGTGTGACTATAAAGATTTTTAAAAATGGCCAAAGTTAAATATTTATTTTATAAGTATGAAACAAAAACTATTATGTTAGTAACTTCACAATAAAAAATTAAGGTTCAATGGCGTAATTATTTTAAAATCCCCCAAACAAACTACAAAAACAAAATGAAATAATTCAAAAAGTGTTTGAGAGGAGTCATAACATAGAGTTTTATATATTGGTAAAATATTGGAATTACAGTATAACATTGTTAAAAATGTTGTTTTCACATAACCATGGCAACATGACATTGTTTTCACGTAACCATGGTAACAATGACAGGTGGCCTGTAGTAGTTGCAGGTGTGATCAATATAACACCTGCCTGCTGCACTAGCCTTCCATCTGTGTTTTGAATTATCAAACAAAGAGAGAATATCCTCATACAGCTTATTCCAGTATTATCCCCTGAGACATTAACCTTGGTTGAAGTATTTCTAATGTCAATAAGGTCTGTTGATTCCTTTTCTACTTTTTTGTCAAACCTTTTGTTTATCTTTAAAAACTTGATAGCTAGAATTTGTGAAGTTCTATTCAAAAAATTTAATGACATGTTTTGATACAAAAGAGATACTGATTTGCAACAGTAAATTATTACAAACATTAGCCAGGCAAGTATTGTTTGCTTTAATACTATCTACTTACAAGCTGCCGGTCTAGTTTTGAAAACATTGCTGTTGATCATTTATGGTACCTATATGATTGTTGGCCTGAAACAGACAAAGAGCCGTACAGTTAATGATTGCACTTTATGAACACTAATATGTTACATAGCTCGTCTCAACGACCAAAACAAATCAGCTCTATTGTAAATGACACCTAGAATTAGCTTCATAGTGACAGGACTTACGTCTCTGCTACAATTTAAACTAGGCCAAAATTAATTAACAGATACCACTTTTCTGTATATAATTTTAATAACCTATAGTTTGTTGCTGGTATCAAAAGCTAAATAAATTTTTCTGGCATATTATCAGTTATTGAGAAAATTGTATACAACCGTACGATCATATTACAACACTGATAATTAATTACAAATAAAGGTACATAATTTTATATTTGCTCAAAGCTGGTGGAGGAAGCGTTCGACACCTACTCGCCCAGTGGAGTAAGCGTTAGTTTCAACGGAGGCAAAGATTGCACCGTGCTGCTGCACATTGTTTTGGCAGTCAAGGATTACAAGAACATCTCAGAACCTTTGGAAGCTGTCTACTTCCATCCCGCCAATCCCTTCCCAGAAGTGGAGCATTTCATTAAAGACACTGTTGACAGGTGAACAACTACGCAAAATAGTACTAAAGTAGATATTTCTAATCAATAAATAAACTCATTAAATAACATTTTACATAAACAATATGTTTATGTAGGTTTATGCACAGAGAATTAAGGTACAGATTAAACATTAAATAAGATTTGATCCTACGCACAACAAATGCCAGTATAATTCAATATCAGTTTCAAACGCTTTTGCTATTTTTGTCTATTCATTTTGGTGTGGTCTAGGCCTATTTTAGTAAATCAGAAAACATCAACCAGTAATATATGTATTTTTTTGCTAGACATTTTTCCATAGTATTTAGTTTACTGTTTCTTTTATGTTACAATATTTTTTTTAGTCATCAATTGAAGTAAGGAAGCTAGAATTTTCCTTCCTCAACTCTATTATTAAGAACACTGAAATCTGTTCTAATATAGTTGGTTTCAAAGGCTACTTAATATTTCAAATTCAATAAATTGTATACATAATTCAACAATAAATCATATTTTTGAGCCATTAACTAAATTTCAGCCTACCAATTTCCTTTGAGTTTTTTTTAGTATTAGTGAGGTTTTATTTTTAAAATTGAGCTGTGAACTTTAAATCTTATCCTTTGTGAGGGGAGTTTAGGAAACAACATTAAATAATATTTTTAAATCAATGAACAATAGGCCTATACTATGGTATTTAACTTACCTGCTAAACTATTTGCTGTTGGTTTGTCGAGCATAAGCTTTTTAATAATTAGATTCTTTGTTTGATGTGTAACAGGTATCAAATCAGATTAACTACACTACCTGGACCCATCAAGTCAGCTTTAAAAGTCCTAGTGAAAGAAAAAAATTCTCTTAAAGCAATTTTCCTTGGAACTAGACGCACTGACCCATACTCCAAAGACCTAAATGATTTTCAGGTAAGCCTATGAATAAATGTAGGTTTTTTAGGATACTACAAAAAGAATGTGGCCTACTTTTCTCTGGATTTTAAAGAATCGCCGCAATCCTACTGTGAAAACACAGCAATCATAAAATTGCATCAACAATTAAAATTTATCTTTCAAATCTCACTCTCATTTTTCATTCATACTTATCTCAGAGTATGCTTCAGTCGCTTTATCCATTCTTTAACATACATCATCAATGACTGTATGATCCATATGCACATGAACAATCAGGCCACTCAAGATTCATAACTAAAACACTTAAAAAACATATTTTCATCCTATACAAAACCAATTTTTGATAGCTAAAGGAAGAATGTTACTTGTGTTGCCAAATTGAAGGATTTAGTCATAGAGGTCAAGTACTTTTTCAGTGTGATAAATGACTCGGTACTGTATAATTGAAAATTTAGAAGATATATAAACTTTTCTCCTAATTTCAGTAAAGTTATAATAAAATGTGTGTTTAAGTATGCAAACAACTTCATTTGTAGGCTTAAGCGGCCAAAGTCAACAATACATTCTAGGTCTTACAGTGAGAGCTGTGTCAAATAGGAAACTATTTACATGATTTACAGTACAGTTGAACCTCTATAAGACGAATTTCAAGGGGTAGGGGAAAAATTTGTGTTATCGATGTATTCTTAATAAAAGGTTCGTCTTATTGAGGTTTAATACAGCCTTTATTCCTCTTATGGAGGTTTTCGGCACGTGCCAAACAATGACTGTGGAAGGAAGAGGGAATGTGGGGGTTTCATGTTGAGACAAGCTTCTGTTTGTTTTGAAAACTATGTACTATGAAGGTTAAGATCATGAGAAATTCGTCTTATAGAGGTTGATTCCGTCTTGT